ATTAAGAAAATGATCAGTTCTGTGAGAATCTGTGTTGAGATTAGTTCAAAAAGTGATCTAATTGAATCATTAGATCTCCAGCTTAATGATCTAATGATTACAATGAATTAAGTCATAAAATTAGAGTATTTTTAACGCTGGAGGATACTTTACACGTCCACATTGCAAGTATATATGTGGCTACGACATCTTGTTCACCCATTTTACCCACCTACCTCTCCAGTGCGCCAATGAATCTACCAGTCAGACCCTTACTTCACATGCCAGACCTCATTTAATAACCAAGTTTCTTTGTATTTGTGTTTGAGTCTCTCTCTCTCTCTCAAGCCATCATACAACAACCACCCATCCCTTTGAGTAAATATTGGATATAACGGTTACACCACGTTAACATTGTAACATGGTATAATTATCCAATGATAATTCACTAATTAGACAAAATAGATCTCAATCCTTTAAATAATTACTCCTCCATGTAAGGAACAATGAACTGTTACATATTCAAACAGGACAGTTCATTTGTCCACTTGTTTGTTTATTATTAGAGGTTTACACTATCGTGACGTTACACCCCATATTAACCACCATTTCCAACCTTCTATTTGGCTTACAAAAACTTGTAATGTTGGAACACCCCCCCCCCCCACCACCACCTTCTTCTCTCCCTCTCCAAATGTATTAATATTTGATATTCCCTTCCCCCTACTAGTTCGAAACTTCTGGCTCGATCGCTGATTGTAAGTGTTTAGAAGATGCAATATTGGCAAGGAAGCCGGCTGATGTTTTCTACTACAATGGCTTCTACATGTTCAGGTATGTTGTTTCAGGCTTTTTTCTTTTTTTTTTTATGCCTATTTTCTTTCTACTCTATAATACTTATTGATCATGTCTCTTTTTTTTATTTTTCAATCATAAACATGTTGGAGATGAAATTTTTTGTTGTATACGAGAACTAAGGAGCTAGCTTATGCAGATGAATTTAATTGTCTGTTCTTTCTAATACACCATGATTTTATATATGTTGTGAGAGATGAAAGGAAAGAGAGAAAATATAGAGCTTTTCTTTCTACTACTACTGGAGTTTGGGCCTTTGACACTAAAAACCTCTGATTGCATACAGTCACCATGGCATACCTCGTTTATTTCTTTGAATTACTTACCATTCTCAAGAAAAAGACAGTTCAGTCTACGAACCACCTATAACTATGAGGGTTCGAGAGGATCAAGTGTATGTATCGTTGCTCCTATGAAGAGGTTGTTCCGAGACGGAATATAAATTTTATGATTATTTTCAACTTCAAAAACATCATAGGTTTGACTTCAAACTTGTCGGGGGTGAATCTGCCCTGAACTTGATGGCAATCAGCATCAATGATAAAGAGGCATGAGGCAAAAGACTTTTGGAGCTGGAAAAGCACGTGGGCTGACTATTAGATAGCAAAGTAATAATGGACCATAGGTAAATTATGTTACCCCCCTAAGTTTGACAAAAATAATAACACAAACTCTTTTTTCTTGGTTCTACGGTCAGGAGTGGCCGGACCAATTTATGCGTACTTCAATTAATTTCCTCCGTAGTTCGGTCAAATACAGACCATCTAAATCGAAATTAGAATATTCATGAAGAATATTTTTCATGGCTTAATCTCAAGAAATTGCTAAAATTCAAATTTAAAACGTTTGAATTTATAACTCGTCCTTATTAACAGTTGAGCTACTCTTTAAGATTAACACAAACTTTTCATACCAGCATATAAAACCTTTTATCAGAGTTGTTATTAATGAAATAATCATTTTACTCTTGTTGGGGGTAGATACAGAATTCCAACTTTTCAGTAAATTTAGGAATGACTTCGGGCTAAGCGAAGGAAGGCTTGACTTTGATAGACTTAAGGCCTAATCCCAAATTTGGACATGGCCCTTCAAAGCCCAAAGCTGCACTGCAAGTCTGCAAGCCCTTGTCACAACATGTTTTAACACGAGTGTTTTGACCGTATATATTTTTTTAGATTTATTTGAAAGGAAGTTTATCGATAAGTATTTTATTCTATTAAGTTTAATTTTAATAAAATATCTTTTTATTAGGTACAAAATTGAAATGACATTTGAATTTCTTTACTAACTTCCTTAAATTATGCATAATTTTTATCCTCTCATCTCTCTCCCACCTATTTTCTATTCATCTCTCTTTCTCTCTCCCTCTCTCTGCATTACTCTCTCACTATCTCTCTCCTATTTTCTCTTAATATCTCTGTCCGTTATTCTCCTTATCTTTCCCGTATTTTCTATCTCTATCTCCCATTGATAATTTATTTTCTTTTTAAATATGTAAAGATTTAATTTGATTTTTTAATTCTCTCTTTATCCTATTTCTCTTTCTCTCTCTCTCTCTCCCCCTATTTTCTCTCACTGTTAATCTCTCTATTTCTCTCTCTCCTTATTTTCACACCCTCTCTCTATTTATATCAACGTTACAATAACATAATTATGTTAATTAGTTACACCAATCAGTTACAATTATCTTATAATACATCAAACAGTTATTCATGTATTTTAATAACCAAACAATTACACCAAATAATTACATAAAATTATGATACTAACTCAATTTATCATTCAATTGTTTACATAAATCAAAAAATTGTATTATTTAGTATTACGACATGGTTACACCAACTATATAAATCAAATTTGGTATAATAGTAAAATCTTTTGTGTAATGATGAATCCAATTTAATGTATATAATTGGTATAACCATATCACGATACTAAATGGTATAACTCTTTGATTTTTATAAACAACTAAATGACAAATTGGGTTAGTGTTGTAATTTTGTATAATTGTTTAATGTAGTTGTTTGATTTATTAGAACACATGAGTAACTGTTTGATGTATTATAGAGTAATTGTAACCAATTAGTATAACTGATTGATGTAATTGTGTTGTTATAACATTGATGTAAGGAGAGAGAGAGCATAAGGAGAGAACGGTGAGAGAAAATAAGGGGAAAGAGAGATAAAAAAATTAAATTAAATCTTTACATATTTGAAACAAAATAAATTATCAATGTGAGAGAGAAAAAAAGAGATACATAGAGAGAAAATAGGAAAGAGAGAGTAAGGGAGTAATGAAGTAATAAATAGTCTTCTAGTTTTTTTTTTAAAATGTACTTACAGTCAAATAAATTTTCTTAATATAGTTTAACTCAATTAAGTCTAAATTTTTGTACCGACTTCCAAATTTTTCTTTTAACATTTCCACATGGAAAGCGACTCCAAACAGTCCCAAATTAGGTGTGACCCAAGTCTATTTGGTCTCACCTCAGTGCAAAACTAGTACATCTCAGGGCAAGAAGTAAGTCATTCCCTACTGCAGAGGCTGGAAGATGTTTGGGGACATAACAACTTAAAATGCTTTGATCCTCTTAGCGGACAAATCAAAAGTATAATTCAATACACGAGACTTTTGTTATTGTGATTTCGGATAGAGTCAATTATATACAACTTTTGAACTAGACTACAAGAAATTATTTTTATGACATAAAATTATGACGTACACGTCACACAAAACAACTTTATCATTGTGATAAGATGTACGCTCTCTAGCTGACAACTCAACCTAATTGAAAGATTTTGAGAAGTTTTTAGTTACTTATAAGTTGCAAGATTAGGTACTTAGCAACCACAGAATCATCTGTCTGGTCATTACGATGATCAGTTTTTTAAGATGATTTTAGAAACATACACTCGGCTTTGTAGTTGGTCACTTGATATTTTCTCGTTTATGTGATCATAATGCTCGAATGAAATCACTAAAAACTCTTTAAATTCACCATTTTCTCTGATAATTAGTCACTAAGGATATTTTTAGCTCTTATAAACTTTAATTTAATGTGTATTCCCCAATTAAATTCACCATTTTCTCTGATAATTAGTCACTAAGGATATTTTTAGCTCTTATAAACTTTAATTTAATGTGTATTCCCCAATCAAAAAATGCGACAATGGGATAATGATTGTTATCAGATGATTACATGTTATGAATTTATATTCAGAAGCAATAGATACATGAGTAGAGTGGTCATCTTTATTTTGATCAAACAATGATAGTACAGTGCACGTAACTTTCGTCACTACAGCATCTGAGGGTCGTGATAATATGTGCTAATGCATGTGTGAGAATAAGATACAGTAATGCTCCATTGATTAAATTTTGAGATTAAATTTAGAATTTAAATGACATGGCAGCTGACTTGGACTTCTTTATTTGGTGTCATGTCATTTGGACCCCAATAAAATCTCCAGATAATATGTTGTCATGTCATTTGGGCTCTAAATTTGGTCAACATAACATTATTCAATAAGATAAAGATGCATGCAGACATGTCTTCCTTCAAGTTTCCCTACTACCAAAATTGAGAAAACAGAATCATTATTTTTCATAAATAATCCCATCAAGATGCAGACACCGTTCTGTATAGAAACATAGAGGTGGGTTATAAGTTTGCTGTTGCTAAAAAAAGTTCAAATGTGAGCATAGATGATCTTGTACACGAGTGTGTAAATACAAATCTGGATCAAAAAATGATTATAAACGTTGTGGGAAAGTCTACAATCAAATAAACATTCATTTACTACTTGAGATCAATTAAGAAAGTTGAAAAATCAAACCAAATAGTAACAGTCCGTCATCAAGAAAAAACAAAGATACACACAATTGTATATATACAAACCAAAGTTTCCTCACACTAGTTATGATAACAAATAGTTACACAACTAGCTAGTACCACGGTCTAAAATTTGGAGGTCACTCCAATAAAAAAGAGAGAAGTGACTGTTGAAACGGTGACTGAACCGTTAAGAGTTTCCAGAAAACGCATATACGGATTACCTAGGCCACAACATAGTCCCGTTCACGAGATAATAAATAGATAGTGTACAACATACGAATTACCACACATGATCAAGCAATCCAACCCATTTAACTCCTTGTCTTTTAATTAATCTGGCAAAAGATTATCTAACCCTTCTTGTTCATCTTCTAATGCAGCAACGGTTGATGTCGGTGCAGCTTCCCAAACAGTTCCAAGGTTGAAGGTCTGCATAGAAGATGTTACATGCTGAGACAATATCGAAGGTGAAATCACGTTAGGCTGTTGCGGATCAGTAAACTCGTTTTCATTTATCAAGAAATTCAAAAATGAAGAGAACGTTTCACCATTGCAGAATTCCATATCATCTTCTTCATTGCTACTGTTTTCATGGCCACTTTCTAAATTTGTCATCAAAAGATCAGAATTCTTCAAGTTCTTGTGGCTATTATCGACAAGTGGGTTTCGATCCAGATCCAGATTGTAGCCATTAACTGGTTGTGACCCAGAAAAAATTGGTCTAGGTTTTTTAGGAAAAAGTGTAAGAGTTGAGGCTTGTGTTTGGATTGCATACTGTTGTACAAACTGTTCCAGAGGAATTAGGGTTAGGGCTTGTGTCCACTGGCTTGTGAGTCCTAGGATCAATTCCTTGGTTGATGGGCTTCTTGCTGAGATGGGAATTCCAGTAGTTCTTGATCTCGTTATCTGTACGTCCTGGGATTCTTCCAGCTATCAAAGCCCACCTGAGATGATCAAATTCAAACCCCAAATAAATATCAGAGAACTTTCAGATTCAGTAGCCCAAATGGACGAACTGGTTTCATTCCATTTACACCATCGAAAAAATTACATATTAATAATGATTGAATTTCAAAATTCTCATGCACAAGGTATTTTGAACTGCGTCAAACAGATCTTTTCGATCAATATTTCGAAAATAAATTTCTACTCTTTCTGTTACCATGTTTTCATAGTATTTCCAAAACTTTTCTGAGTTGATAGAAACTATACAACCTATACGAAATTTTACTACTCACCTGGAGAAAGAGGAAGAGTACACAATGAAACCCTGAATTGATGGGGATAGATGTTATATAATTCGTGTTATTGGAAACTGAGATGATTTGAAAGGTTCAAAAGAAACAGTACCTGTTACCGAGCAATCGATGAAGACGAAGGATGAGATCTTCTTCATCAGGAGCAATCCGACCCCTCTTAACAGACGGCCGGAGATAATTCATCCACCGGAGCCGGCAACTCTTGCCACACCGGAGGAGACCGGCGCGTTTGGGCAGCGTCCGCCACAGTCCTTCGCCTTCCCTCCTCTTCACATAATTGGCCAAAAGTTCATCTTCTTCAGGTGTCCATGGCCCCTTCTTCATTCCCACTTTGCTGCAACATGGTGTAGGTGTCACTCTTGCTATTTGACATGGTCGCCGGCGATACTGACAATGGATTCCTCATCTTCCTCTCTCTCTAGATTAGTTGCAGAGGTGAAACTCTTACGATCTCTTTTACAAATGGGCTTGTAAAAGAGAACCAATGATGTGATACTATAATGGTAATATTTGTTGTCCCACCTTAATTCATTTACAATTTAAAAGTGTAATGGTAAACTTAAATATTAAATTAAATAAATAAATAAAAATACGACATAAATCACCGTTATGCATTTTATTCGTAATTTTTTTTATCATGCGCTTATTTGATTTAACATTATTCAATTTAAATTTTATACATCATGCCAGTCATCACATCATTTAAAATCGTTTTTTTTTTTTTAGTTTAGCATTACACTCCTGTTTTTTATCTCGTTTTTTTAAATAATATTATTTAAATTTAATTCGTTGAACTAATTTTTTGTGATCATTGAATTAGTTACGAATCACAATAAATACTAAAATTTACTGTATTATCCATCTGATGATTATAAATAATTAAATTAATAAATTATGTCAAAATATCATTATTTTTTTTTCTAACATTGCTTTTGAGATATAAAAAATAGATTTAATTTATTAATATAAATAATAATGTGACAGTAACAGTGACGGTTATTGATACAGTGACAATGACAATGACAGTGTGATTAAATAGTGTACCCAACACCATTACTAATTTTCTTTTAATTTAGCAATCCTCTTTTACTATACGACGAATAGCATATTATCGCGTAGATATAGGAACCGACAATTTGAATATAGGGGCCCACATTGATTGTGGCACGTTTTTTAGCATGCTCCTTTCATCTTTGGTGGTTGCAAACTTACTTAATGGGTAAGACATGGCACCTGCCTATGTTATGTTATGTTATTATGACATAATTTGAGAATATAAATTAATAAATAATAATATTATATTAATTAAATTTTAAATTTAAATTTGAAGCTTAAATGACATGACAGCTGACATGAACTTCTTTATTTGACGTCATGTCATTTGGGTTTTAATAAAAATTTCAAATAAAAAAAATTGAAAAAAGACGCACCAAATTAGACTTAATTATAAAAAAATACACACAGATAAATATTGAGTAATTAAATTCTTAATTTTGATACTTATTTATATCTAAGTATATTATTTGAATTTTATTGATTTTTTTGTGACATTTTTGTCCTCCATTGATCCATGTGTGTTATCTTTGAAAAATGGTACATTAAATATCTCCTTTGAAAAGTTGTACATTATTTGAACTATATATATATATATATATATATATATATATACTTGTTATCTACTAAACACGGTTATTGGCAAGGTAAAAGCATTTCCATATACTATCAGTAATACCAACATGACACCATGGTTCTGGATCATTAATCCACAGTCCATGCTTGACAACTTAGGGGAATGCAACATTGCAGCTGTTCATGGTTCCACTCACAAAAACATGAGAAAGTCCTTGCTTGCTCTTGTTAGATGAATTCATGAGATCCCACCTAAGCAATTGGGACAACAAAGTCATTGACATTCAAGAAAAAAACAAAGAGGTTTGTGTGGAGTAATTAAAAACACATGGTTATATAATTTTAATAGTGTTATAATATTTCGTCAGCTCACATGGTTATATAATAGTGTTACCTATTTTTGTCCAGATGGCATTTCCTATCATCTCTCGAGCAAATTGTTGGTATAGAATCTGGATCAATAACTCAAGACATTCATGGATGAATTCTTTAAGTTTGTATTAGGAACCCTTTCACTGCCTATCAACCTTCCTAGAACAAATTATAATAGGGAGGAGCTGGGGGTGGAAGGGGAGTACAGAGAGGTGAAGGGAAAGAGTTGTGAATGCATAAGCCCCGTGAATATACAAAAAGGTCCAAATACACTTGTCCCAACCAATCTAAATCGTGAATATACAAAAAGGTCCAAATACACTTGTCCCAACCAATCTAAATCATAAACAGTAAGTACATACATCATAGCCAAAGCCAAATTCACCAAGAGAGGGAGAGAGACCAAGAAATACCAAGAATCAGCTTAATAAGAGCACAAACATAACTATGAACACCACCACCACAGAACAGCTGGTTAGAACAAACCTAAAAGCAGAAAAATCAATACCGCATATAAACTACATGCATCAACCAAAAAAAATACACAGAAAAACAAAAATAACTATGAACACCCGTTGCTGTGTGAAACAAACTGCATTACAATTTACATAAATAAATGTGATCGAGAGAGAGAGAGAGAGAGAGTTCTATACCCCATAATAACTACGTTGTTAGACAAAATGGCATTATAACATGATTGACGAAATCCATAAAGCATTGTATGATTATAATTCAAAGGTGAAGCCATAATACAACACAAAAGATTTATATATACCAAGAGAGAGAGAGAGAGAGATAGGAGAAGGGAATGGAATAATACCTTCTTTGTGTGCAGCTCAAAATAAAAATTTGGGACTTAAGTCGTTCAACCTGAGAGTCCCTTCAAAAAATGAAGTTACCAAGCATCACTTATATGACAAAGGATTTCAAAGCTACCGTGCAATGACAAACATGCCCTGCATAAATAAATAAAAAATGGACAGCAAATTCGGCAAGAAAATGGAGACTGTTACCGGTTTTCTAATGGAATGTATGGAACCCAGAATTTCTTCAGTCTCTCTTTGCACTGATTTGACTCCTGTTCAACAGAATGAAAAATAAACTGGAAAAAATCAAAGATGGCTTCACCATCTATCAAAGATGGCTTCAGTGATGAAGCATATCCAAGTCTACTCAACATAAATTAATTCAACTGCTACACTAAGTTAATCAGTGTGTTGATCCTCATATTCCAAAAACAAAAAACATCAAATAGAACACAACACTGTTAACATAGAACGCAGAAAAAAGTATTACCCAAATCATTCGGCAATTTTCTTTTTCTTAATTTTCTCCACAACCATTCGGATAAGGACAAAACCCAGAAAAGGTTTGAGGAAAAAAATCCCAAAAATTGACAATTATAAAGTCCAAAACTCTGAGCACAAACCAGAGATCAAAGAATACTGACAACTACACTCAAGCACATAAGCCCATTCTTGAATCAATCAGAAAATGTAGCTTCTTGGTCACTAAGAGAGAGCAAGAGAGAGAGATCTTTTGGGGAATTTTGTTGAACAGTTTATAGGCCATCGTTGATAATGCCATTTTGAGCGTGAGAGAGAGATAGGAAGAGGGCAGCTGTGCGCGGGTGTGAGAAGAGAGAAGGGGAGAAAGAGATACCTGGAGAGCCTAGGGCTGGGCGCTGTTGGGGCTGGGCGTTGATGCTCGCGAGAGAGGAGGAGGTGGTGATTTAGGGGAGGGAAGAGGTGGTGATTGAGGGCTGGGCGCTGATGCTCGCCGCCTGTCGGCATGGATTTGGGGAAGTGAGTGAAGAGACCGAGAGAGGAGAGACTGAGAAAGAGAGGACAGAGAGCCGTTGTTCTGTGTGTTGGATGTGATGGTTGGGTTGGGTTTGAATTGGGTTGAGTTAGTCTTGGGGGAAAAATATAATGGAAGTAAAATTCAACTTCCATCCTGTTTTGTTTATATATATATATATATATATATATATATATATATATATATATATATATATATATATATACACATTAATCAAGGGATATTAAAAATAAAAAATTTTGAATTAAACGAGCATTTATGTCTTTCTATTTCAGCTACATATTTTTTTTCAAAATATTTTATTCTATGTACTTTTGTCAAATAAGTCTAATTAAGTGTACCGACTTCTAAAGAACTCCTTCAAATAATATGTTGTCATGTTATTTAGGCTCCAAATTTTACTATATTTAATGATAAATCTAATTGCAATATTAAATATATTTTAATAATAATTTATTATTAATAACTCATTATATCCCTAAATTATGTCTCAATAATATTACTCTTTTTACCGAATAGGCTTATCGGTCTCAAAATGATATCATGTTTACTATAAATAGAAGTGAGATTTGTTATAATAAATTTTTGGATTAACTGTATTAACCTCCTTTGAGCGGCAAGACTCTGGTACCCACAAAAAAATAGGGTTAATTGTAAGTTATATCCCGAAAGATAGTGATAATTTTAATTTATACCTCTAAAGATCAAAAATCAAATATAAAAATAGAAATTTATATCAATGTGCACCCCTAAAGATAAAAATCTCAATCTGCACCCTCAAAGATAAAAATTTGTATCAATGTGCACCTAAAACTAAATTGATAAATTACACATAGATTCCCTCATGTTTGTTACTTAATTATTTGGATCCCTTCACATTTAAAATATTACTCATATATCTCATGACGTTTGTGCACGTGTAACATGTAATCCCTTTTCATTGATATCTGTTAATATAACTGTTAAAAAATATGATTTTATCCTAATAAAAAATTATAATTTCATATTACCCTTTATTTTGTGGATTCGATATACTTTAAAGTTCAAAATTAAATTTACCATTGACAATATAATTTTTTATTAGGATAAAATTATATTTTTTAACTGTTATATTAACAGATATCAATAAAATGAGGTTACGTGTTACACGTGCACAAACGTTACGAGATGTAGGAATATTATTCTAAATGTGAAGAGGTCCAAATGATTAAATGACAAGTATGAGGGAATCTAGGTATAATTCATCAATATAGTTTTAGGTGCACATTGATACAATTTCTATTTTTTTTAGGGTGTAAATTGAGATTTTTATTTTTGGGAGTGCACATTGATACAAATTTTTATCTTTGAGGGTATAAATTAAAATTTTGAACTTTGATAGTACAAAATGAGATTCCAACAATCTTTCAAATTACACTTGCAATTAACCCAAAAAAAAAATATGGGTATCTCGCTAAAAAATGGACCCTACTTGTAAATAATAAAACAAAGTGAAATAATAC